GGGTGGGGAGAAGGGTGTGGGGAGAAGGGTGTGGGGAGAAAGGGGGTGGGGAGAAGGGGGTGGGGAGAAGGGGGTGGGGAAAAGGGGGTGGGGAGAAGGGGGTGGGGAGAAGGGGGTGGGGAGAAGGGGGTGGGGAGAAGGGTGTGTGGAGAAGGGTGTGGGGAGAAGCTTGTGGGGAAAAGGGTGTGGGGAGAAAGGGTGTGGGGAGAAAGGGTGTGGGGAGAAAGGGTGTGGGGAGAAGGGGGTGGGGAGAAGGGTGTGGGGAGAAGGGTGTGGGGAGAAGGGTGTGGGGAGAAAGGGGTGGGGACAAGGGTGTGGGGAGAAGGGGGTGGGGAGAAGGGGGTGGGGAGAAGGGGGTGGGGAGAAGGGGGTGGGGAGAAGGGGGTGGGGAGAAGGGGGTGGGGAGAAGGGGGTGGGGAGAAGGGGGTGGGGAGAAGGGTGTGTGGAGAAGGGTGTGGGGAGAAGCTTGTGGGGAAAAGGGTGTGGGGAGAAAGGGTGTGGGGAGAAAGGGTGTGGGGAGAAGGGTGCGGCGAGAAGGATGTGGGGAGAAGGATGTGGGGAGAAGGATGTGGGGAGAAGGATGTGGGGAGAAGGATGTGGGGAGAAGGATGTGGGGAGAAGGATGTGGGGAGAAGGATGTGGGGAGAAGGATGTGGAGAGAAGGATGTGCGGAGAAGGATGTGGGGAGAAGGATGTGGGGAGAAGGATGTGGGGAGAAGGATGTGGGGAGAAGGATGTGGGGAAACAAGAGCAGCTGAAGGGATGTGTAGTGGGGTTAGCGATGTCTGGACAAGGAGACTATAGGTGGCAGGCGATGGGAGGGAGAAAAGGAGGGAGGTGCAGGCTTCCTTGTGTTGGGCGATGCAACGATGCTTCTTACTGATGTGCTAACATAACACCTGTGGACCGTGGTTTATCTACCAAGCCAAGCCACCGCTCTTGCAGCATCACCCGAGCATCCGCCATGAAACCAACACCCCTTTCATTAGCAGATGCTAATAATACCCCCTCCCCTCCATCCTCGCCATTCTTCCCCTCCCCCCTTCCCTCCCCTTCCCCTTCCCTCTCCTCCCCCTCCCCCCCTCGCCTCACCTTCATCTGTCTGGCAATCTTTGGTATGCCAGCAGGGGAGAGAAGGCGGTTGGCGCACTTTCCTGGAAGGAGCAGCAGCGAGGCAAGGGCAGTGGGGGAAGGGCAGAGAAGGGAAAGCCAGCAACGATGGGGTGGGGAGATGTGAAGCGCGGTCCAGAGTGGTTAGAAGGGCTATCCAGAGCGTCGTTAACTGTAGCCGCTTTCTTCTATTAAAACCATTTGGCACTGCCTGCCAGTAACATGGTAACATGGTAACATCTTCCTGTGCACAAACACACATGACAGCATGTACTGGCGCATTATAACATGCATGCATCAACACACCCACCCACCCAAAAACAACAATGCCAAACTCTCCTGCCTCCCTTCCACTCTCCTCCAGCACCCACTGTGCACGGCATAGCATGCACGCATAAACCACACACACACCCACCGTTGTGTGCGATGACCACAAAGTCGAACTCCCCGGCCTTCTTTCCAGTCTCCTCCAGCACCCACTTGCCCCCCCTCGCCCGCATCTTGCCGATCCACACCGGCCGCTCCACCGCCACCACGCCCTGCCTCACCTGCGCTTTCGGGAGGGGTTGATGGGGAGGGGTTGATGGGGAGCGGTTGATGGGGAGCGGTTGATGGGGACAGCAATAGAGGGACAGGAACGATAAGTGGAATGAGGCCTCACTGCCGATCCACACCGGCCACTCCACCGCCACCACGCCCTCGTCACCTGTGCATGTGATGTGACGAGGACGGTGAGAAACGGGGAGAAGGAGATACAGCGGAAGGGGGACGGCTGAAGGGGCACTTCGAGACTCGTATGCCTATCCACACCGGCCGCTCCACCACCACCACGCCCTGCCTAACGTGCACTCTGGGAGAGGAGTGGGCGATGAAAGGCGGAATGGAGTGGACGAGGAAAGGCAAGGGGGAAGGATTGCGAGCGAATGGAGGAAACAGGACGGGTAACTGGGGGAAATAGGGCTTCAGTTGGAAAATTATCTGCCTATCCACTCTGGCCACTCTAAACCCACCACTTAATACAGAACAAGACACATGACTGCATCCACTGCCTCCTACTGCTGCTAACACTACCCCATCTGTAAGACACAGAGACAGAGACAGAGTATCCTGTTACTCAAGTCCAGCATCCTTCTCTTCCCCCCGTCCGTCCAGCTCCCCCAACCTCGCCCTTCATCCTCCCGGCTCCTGCTAGTGGCTGTGCTTCAATCAAATCATGTGGTCAGGTCGCACACACCTTATCCGCCATGATGTGCTCGCACAATCCTCTCATGCCATTCGGGCTCACGAATCTCCGCACCCCACCCTCACTGCCGGGCAGCTCTGAAAATTCCCCTCCTGCCCGGAGCGTGCCAAGGTGCCCCTCGTCCCACACACGCAGAGCTCCCTCTTTGAGCCACCTGGTGGTATATGGTGCGGTGGAGTGCGGTGAGCGCGGTACATCTCATGCAAGAAACAATGGGGTCAGAGCAACATGAGCACAGCAGCAGATGATGCAATGCAACACAAAGCTCCAGATGAATCGTCTCGTAGTCTCATGGCACCATTCAGTGATTGCACGCAGCCCATCTGCCCACATGTGATTAGAGGAGCCCACTGTGGACGCAGCTGCCCAGCTGTCAACGTGTGATTGGAACTGCTTAGCTGTCAATGTGTGATTGGAAACTGCTTAGCTGTCAAGGTGTGATTGGAAGCCCACCTGTCAACGTGTGATTGGAAGCGGGCATCTGTGGCTGTGAAGAATTGAGCCGCATGGTCAAACAGGTGCTGCTTCCCGGCAACTTCCACCTCCCGAGTCGCCATCCGCCCGCCCAACCCGTGCTTGCCCTGCAGGTGGGGAGGAGGTGGGCCGAGGAAAGGGAGAGGGAGGATTGTAGTGGGGAGGGGAAGGAGGATTGTAGTGGGGAGAGGGGGAAGGGAGGATTGTAGTGGGGAGAGGGGGAAGGGAGGATTGTAGTGGGGAGAGGGGGAAGGGAGGATTGTAGTGGGGAGAGGGGGAAGGGAGGATTGTAGTGGGGAGAGGGGGAAGCCAGGAAGCGGAAGGAGGGGGAGGGGGGAGAGGGGGGGTGGAAGAGGGAGAGAGGGGAGGTGGAAGGGGGAGAGGGGGAGAATAAGAGGGGGGAAGTGAGAGGGGTGAAGGGAAAAGCAAGCAGTGGAAAAGAGTGGGGAAGTGGGGCGATAGGAGCAGAGGAGAGCAGAGAAGTGGGGAGGGGGAGAGGGGGGGGCAGAAGGGCGAAGTGACATGCATGAGTGAGGGAGTGAACGGAACAGAGTGACTCCGATTGATAACGCAACCCTGTCACCAGCCGTCAGCATCAACTGCTCAACACATCGACCCTTAACCCTGGCAACCCTGGTTAAATAAACCCTTCCAAACCCTGTTACACTCTGACGAATCCCGATAAATCCCGCCGAACTTCAGATCTTTCCCACAAATAAGACCCAGATGTACCAAACTTCTACGTTGCAGTCCATAGGTGAAAACCCTACTAAACCCCTCCGCACCGTATCAAACACCGTGCTGCGGATCCCCCGCTCCGCCAGCCCCAGCGCGCACATCAGCCCCGCCATGCCGCCGCCCAGGATCGCCACGTGCGGGTCGCGGCTCATGGGCTCGGGGAACTCCGCGGGCTCCTGCACCACGTGGCTCCGCTTCTGCCGCTCGCGCCTACCGCTTCCGCCGCCCTCGCGCGCCTCCCCATCCGCTCCCGCGCCATCCACGTTCTCCGCCCGCTGGGCTTCTCCGCTTGCCCCCCCGCGCGCTGGCTTACCGTTGCCTCGCCTATCCTTTCCCCCGAAGGGCCTGCTGTCGCCCTTCCCCGCGCTCTCCCTCCTCCCGCCCTTCTCAGCGATCCGTCTCACAGCACCAGTCGTGCTCTCCGTGCTGCTGCTACCGCCTGCGCGGCTCCACTGCTTCGCGAACGAGCTCGGCTTCTCGCCGCCCTCGCCGGCAGCGCATCGCACGGACGAGCGCGATTGGAGAGATAATTTGGAAGGTGGATTATTTATTGCGCGAGCCGCTCCGTCGCTAATTAATTCACGCTCTAGCCGATTTGTGACGGATTCCCAAGGAACTAACGTCGGTCCAGTAGAGAGAGATTTCTGTGCGGTGCTTTGAAGAAGGGGCGTGCGAAGGGAAGAGCACGACTGGAATAAACCGGCAGATGTCATGATGCTATTGGCCGGCCTGCTAGCCGCGAGGAGCGGCGGAAAGTACGGCGAGCTGATTTCACGAATGGTCTCCCTTCGCACGAATGAGGCCAGGGCTTTAGGGGGTGTGTGGAGGGAAATCACCTCTTTATTGCACAGCTTCGATAAGGCGTACAGTAGTATGTTGTTTCGATGATGCATACGAATATTTCCAATCCCTTCGTCCCCTCCCACAACCAGTCAACCTTGTCAAAATACCTCCCACCTTGCCCTCCCCACTATTCTGCATGCCCCAATCCTCTCCGCACGAATCCTCCTCCCGCCACCGCGAATCGCGGCACATGCGACGGCGCAGGTCGCGCAACGGGGCAGCACACTCTAATGCCGCACTAGCGTGACCCACCCCGCGTCCGATTTTGGTGCGGTTGTGTGTGCGCTCTTTCTTGGCATGTCATGCTCTCTTTCTTGGCACGTCATGCGCTCTTTCTTGGCACGTCATGCGCTCTTTCTTGGCACGTCATGCGCTCTTTCTTGGCACGTCATGCGCTCTTTCTTGGCACGTCATGCGCTCTTTCTTGGCACGTCATGCGCTCTTTCTTGGCACGTCATGCGCTCCTTCTTGGCACGTCATGCGCTCTTTCTTGGCACGTCATGCGCTTTTTCTTGGCACGTCATGCGCTTTTTCTTGGCATGTCATGCGTTCTTATCTCTGTGGACGGTTCGAGTGTTTCCAGACATTCACACAGCAATTTATTTTACTACGGATTCACAACCAGCACAAGCGCACAGTAGCGCGTTGCTTCTATCGCAGCATCAGAAGCCGTACGTGCCCGAGTAGGCGAGCTTGAGCCCGTCGAGAAACGTGATTCCTCTCACCGCCGGCCTCCCCGTCGCCCCTCTCGCACTGCTGGTACCCCCGGCGCCTTCTCTTCTCTCCGTCGCAGCAGACGCCCTCGAAGCGTCGTAAACCCGCTCCTCCCCGTTTCGGCTCCACAGTAGCCTCGGCAATCGCCGCGTAGTGGTCTTGCTCGTACCGTCGCGACCGCCGACGATGAGCCGTCGCTTCGATTCGCGCGATGCGTCTGGTGTAGTTGTGATCGCACCGTTTGCGAGATTCGCGACATTCGTGACGTTCGCTGCCATGCCGGGCTGGGAGAGCACGCGGGGAGTGTCAGTCAGAGAGGCGGTCTGAGCGGCGGCGATGAATTGGAGAACCATTTCCACTGTTCGGGTTATTCACGCAATGCGTCAGCGAAGGTTCGCACTTTACTTCGCGAGAGCCGAACGATGGTGGCTTAGAAGCCCGCTCGTCTTGATGGCGAAAGAGCTCGCTCCCTCCTAAACCAGTACCGAAGAGGAGCTGGAGTTGGTTTTGGGTCCGAGACTAGTCTCTTTGTTCTGAAACGAGACCAAGAGGAATGAAAATGAGAGGAATACCTGACAGGCGAGTCGCTACATTCCCTTTCCGTGATTTATCTCGAACGGAACACCAGAGGCGGATGAGTGAGCGGCGACAGCAGGAACCGGCTCTGGAGGTGCAGATTCCTCGGCTCCTCCATGCCTCATGTCAACCCCACATTGCGCTATCTTCCCAACAAATGGGCAAACCGCCAACACTTTCGTCCAAGTCTCTCCGCAAACAGCCGACTGCCCATCCCTGCGAAGCTGAGGTTGGGACGGCTGGGTGTGTCGAGTCAATACTTCTGTCAGCACCCTGCCATGGCTCATTTCTATATTGAGGACATACGGGCTGCATGAAGCGTTTCTTGAAGAATGTTTCAATTTTTTGCGTGGATCCATACAAATTGATTCTAATGTGTTCAAGGCGGCGATCCAAAGGGCCTGGTTCTTCTTACATCTGAAAGGTTGCAAATCGAATTAGAAATACAGAGAAAGTGCATGCTGATCTTCCACTGACACCTATGGAATGGATGGTATTTCGCGATTCGCACCATTCACGATGTTCGCTGCCATGCTGCACCAGGAGAGGACGCAAGGCATGCTGGCTCTGTCTTCCCCCCATGGTACAGTTTACTGACCCGCACACTCATTCGCCCTTCTTCAAGTCTGGTCTGCCTGAGGTTTAGGATCGGGCCCGTGGCCATCTGGTGCAGGGAGGTGGAAACAAACCAGAAGCTTTTGCCTTGTCACAAGGCCAACTGTTGAGTGTTGGATCGCCGTTCGAGAGGTGGGGGTGCTGCAGAAGAAGTTTGGAGTGCAGGCATACCATAGGGTTCAAACTACTTAGCTCACCACTGAAGTGCCGAGAGCTGAGTTACTACCCACAACCGAGGCTTGTAATTCAGGCCATGGATTACATAGTACCTCAGCAGCAGCCTCACGCATCACAGCGAAACAACAGGCTCATCACATTGCCCCAGTTTGTCTTGGGATCTTCAACCAAAGCTGAATGGTTTGCTTCAAGCTCTTGCACCTCCGCATGTTGAGCTTCCCTCTCACGTTGTGCCTTCGCCAGTTCTTCTCTTCCCTTGTTATTTGTCAAGAGGGCCTGTGAGAGGTGAGAGGTAACCACCGGACACGACAAATTTCCATGGTACAGGGAAGATGGAAAGTGGAGGGGAGGCGAGAGACACAAGAGCATAATGGAAATGCTGAACACGCTTAGTACCCTGCAAGTGTCATCTGCCAGTAGTAGATGAAAGAGGGTGGCAAAAGTGGAACACCAGGAGCGCCAGAGAGGAGTGCATGCACGGTAGAGGTATTAGCAGAAGGCAAAAATAGAAAGCTCCATGCAAGGGTGTGGATGAGCAAAAAAATAAATAACGATTCGTGTCTATAAGAGATGGACTGGGCTTTGGGGAGGGGCCGGTAGTTGAGTGACGAGAGGGAGGGGGGGGGGGGGGCAGGAGTTGAGTGAAGAGAGGGGAGAGGGACAGGAGTTGAGTGAAGAGAGGGGGGAGGGGCAGGGGGTGAGAGAAAAAGGGGGGGGAGGCAGGAGGAGAGAAATAGCAGGGGGAGGGGCAGGGTAGCGTTAGGGGGGGAGAGATACGGCAACAACGGCTGACAAACAGAGGAACATGGAGAGAGATATGACACACACCCAACCACCTCCCCCCCCACCTCCCCCTCCCCTCCTCCTCCCACCACACACTGACTCGACCCTTCCCCTCCCCCACCCCCATACACATGCGCCGTCCAACATGCCTGGTATCGCTCCCTGATTTCCGCCTCCTTTGCTACCTTATCCTCTCGTGCTCACTGTGTCACCTGCCGCACCTCCTTGGCTGCCCGCTCTAGACTCTCTGCCTTTGCATCCTGCATGAACGGTGCAAGGGATAATGACGGGTCTATTCTTGGGGTGCCTATAAAATCACCTCCTTGGCTGCCGTCTCTAGGCTCTCCGCCTTGGCATTCTGCATGCTACGTCCAAGGGAGAACGGAGGGCTGAGGGTAGGAGGGAACGAAGGGTAGAGGGGAGAGGAGAAAATGAAGGGGGTGGAAGAGGAGAGAATGAAGGGGGGGCGGAGGAGAGGAGACAGGGTAGAAGGGATGAGAGAGAATGAAGGGTAACTTGGAGCAGAGTGACCGAAGGGTGGAGGGGAGGAGAGAGAATGAAAGGTACAACGGAGAGGAGAGGAGGAGTAGAGGGAAGAGGAGAGAATAAAGATAAATGGATGGTAGAGGGGAGAAGGCAGAATCATGGGTAGAGGGGAGAAGGGAAATGAGCTCCTCTGTCCAATTACGGTCCAATATGGCTCTCACTATCCTTGCAACACTCTCTGCCCTTGCAATCCCAGCTGTCCACATGCGTTGCCTCGTTCTTCTCCCTGAGAGACGACCCTAGCCTTCTTGGCTCCCTTTTCAGGGAGAAGATTCTCCTCTCCGCCCTCGCAACCAGCCACTCTCGTGATTGCTGGATCAAGCGTGGGTGTCTCCACCCTCTCCTCGCTGCCCCTCCTTAACAGCCTTTGACGAGGCGGATAGGACAAGCAAAAGCAACAGGTGTAAGACGGTGGTAACAGGAGCAAAGGCAGGAGGGGGACCGAAACAGAGCAGAGACAGGACAATGGTGAAACGGAGCGGAGATGGGAGGGGGCAAGGCGGGGAGGGGAGGCAACCAGAAAACTACTGGAAATCACAGTCCACCATACCATCTGGCGCAATTCCTCGACGGTGTCCCTTATGTGTGCATCCCTCTCGTCCTCCAGTCGCCTCATCCTCTCCTCCTCCTGCAGCCGCATCCGCCTCACCACCCTCCTCTTCTCCTCGGCAGCCCTCCTTCGCTCGTCCAAGCAAGCCTGCATGGCATGCCGCCCCATTATATCCACTACACGTTCATCCACCGCTGAAACCCACTCTCCTCGCCCCATACTGAACCCTCCCCCTGCAACAGCAGGGACACCCACACCCACACTCTCCATGCCTCCAGCACCCCCCCCCCCTCCCTGGGTCATCATGGCAGCAGGGCGCTTCACCCCCCGAGCGCCACCAGCAGGGCCAGCCCGTGCAGCCACCTCTGGCCCCTCTCCTCTCTGACCTCCCGTGGCAGTCGTCTGCTGGTCGTCCAGGCGCCACGCGGGGGGCACAGCAGCCACAGCAGATGGTGTTGCTGGCGTTCCAGGTGTGTAAGCTACGTTCATTGGTTCACGGATGGTGTCTTGGGGGCTGCACCCGTTGCAGGGGATGCTGCTGTGGCGGCAGCAGGAGTTGCCACAGCCAGACTCGAGCCACGGTTTTCCATTCCTCCTGCGGCTGCCAGTGCTTGCTTCTCCTGCTGCTGCGGCTGAAGCTGTTGCGTCTGCTTCCCCTGCTGCTGATGCTGCTTCTCCTGCGCAGCTTCCACTTCAGCTTCAGCTCCTGTTCCAGTTTCAACTTCCGTTTCAGCTTCAGCTTCACTTTCAGTTCCAGTTTCAGCTTCCGTTTCAGCTTCAGGCAGTTCCAGTTTCAACTCCCGTTTCAGCTTCTGCTTCAGCTGTGGCCTCTGCTTCAGCTCCAGATCCAGCTTCAGATTCTGCTGCTGCTGCTGCGGATGCTGCTTTTGCTGCTGCTTCTGCTTCTGCTTCTTCCCCTGCTTCTCCATCTGCTTTCGCTTCAGCTTCTGCTTCTGCATCAGTCCTTTGCTGCTCTTCCCCCTCCACCGCCTCTCCCTGAACTTGCACCTGCACAGTGGTCTCGGTGGCTCGCGCCACCTGCTGCTTGTCTGACACCGGCATGGCCTCTGAGTGCGTGCATGTCGCCTCCACAATCATTGACCACACTCCTTGCTCTGCTGCTGTCCTTCCTCGATAGCTACCCCTCCTCGTCTTGCACCTGCAACTTGCAGCGGTTGATTCCTTGCCCCCTCTCCCTCTCCCCCCTCAATGCCTCTTTCATTCGCCCCTTCTGGTCCACCCCTTGGATCCAGCTTGGGTGTTTCGTTTGCCTCCCCCTCTTCCCCCCGTTCCCCCTCCTCCCCTCCCCACCTCCTCCTCCTCCAGCGTCTCACTGGCCGCCTCTCTCTTAGCCACCAGCACGCCTTGCTCCACCGGGGAAAAGTCTTCCAGCCTCATAACGCTCAGAATTCTCCCCACCTTCCCACCTCCTTCACCCTCCCCGCATCCTCCACTCGCTTCCTTTGCGCGCCTCTCCAACCGGCCTTCCGCGATCAAAATACCCGCCCACCCACGTCGACCTCTTCCCCTCCCCCTGCGCCCCCCTCCTCTCAACCCGGGCTCCCTCGCACCCCCCGCTCGAAGGCCTTCCGCCTGCGCGACGTCGCCCCCAAGAGGGCGCTCCTCCTCTCCGCGAGTCTGCCCCTTCCCCGCCGAGATCGGCTTTGACCCGCCACGCGCCTTCCCGCCACGCGACTTTCCGCTTCGCACCTTCCCGCTACGCGCCTCCCCACCACGCGCGTCCCCGCCACACGCCTCTCCGCCATGGGCCTCCTCGCCAGGCGCCTTCCCCCCGCGTGCCTTCCCGCCACGCGCCTTTCCTATATGGCTCGATCCGCCTTTGTCCCTTTCGTCCCCCTCACTCTATCCAGCTCCTATCTTCACGAATCTTCCACCCTTGCCTCGCTCAATTGCCCGATTGTAGGATTGGAGGATCGGATGATCGGAGGTACCTCTCTCAATTGATGCGATGCGGCCGCAATCCCGAGATCAGTTTCGCTATGGCCGGCGCTTCCCCTTCCAGAACCACCTTCAGACACAACTCCTCCTAGCTCAGAATTTTCAGCAGCCCTCGCTATGTCTGCGCTATGCGAGCTTGACACAGGAATGACAAGCGGACATCACACAGCGTGTGACCAAGTGTGTCCAGCGACCCTCTGTAGGCCGAACGAGGCTGCCTTCTCGCCGACCATCTTCCAACTTCCAGCTTCCCTCGCATCGGTGTGCCAGCGATGAGCGACGAGCGACGAGCCCAGCGTTCCTCGCGCACTAGCGATCGTCCAGCTCCCAGTGACGCCACACCATGCCATGTCGAGGCGGCTCTCAGGCGTCGCGCCGAGGCCTTCATCTTTCCACCAGCTAGGTTCCACGTGCCACTGTGCTGAGCTGGCTTCCATTAGATTGAGTGGAAGGTAGAGCACCAACGAACGGACGGGGCTGGCGAACGGAGCCGAGGGTCTGTGGCCAATCGTGTGCCTGTGAAAAAAAAAAAAAAAAAAAAAAAAAAATCAATTGATTGAGGGGCACATCTCGAAAGTTTCTTGAAAATTGCGCACGCGCGCCAGCACGAAACCCCATGAACATCAAAGCATTGTTTGCCAAACCTCCAAGCCCTAGAATAGCGAACTGTTTTTTCCGCAAACCCTGTGCAGCTTAACTTTTTTCGTTTTGGCGAATTGCCGAACTCAGCACAATTTTGTAACAGTTTCAAAAATTGAAGTCAAGATATTTATTTGCCTTGTTTGAATCACCTCGTGACTGTACTCAAATTTTAAGCAGCCCAAAATCTCCCAACGGGCAGAACAAATGGACGAACGGACGAACGGA